CTGCTTTAAGAAATAACAATAATAATATATTTCATACAACATGTTACATGAAAACAAACCAGTTTACAGGTCTGATCATTTCGGTTATGTGAACTGACTGTTATGTACAATATCAAGCTATACAATAGACACCGTTCTTTACGGTACATAAAAGATGCGTCTAGAGTAAGAACGTTAGTGCTTTGCAGACAGAAAAGAATGGAACAGATAGACTACAGTATAACTGTTCATCATACTGAGGCAAGCTCAGTTCGAAGGTAGGAAACATCCGGCTATTGTTTGAATCTTCTAATATTCTTGAAGGTAGGGTTTCATGGGAATATGGTAGTTATCCCACACGAGGTAAATCTTGGAGAAACTATTTAATTTCGTCATGGGGTTCACAAAATCATGCACATGAGGGACAGGGATATCTATCAAGGATCGTATGCTTACGTAAGGCTTAATAGTCACAACAGAGCTACATTTCACCTGATGCCTTTATAGGATCCGTATGCAGAGATGATGGTAATGAGCTCTTGGAAGAGGGGTCCTAATTGACCTGATGCGAACATGACGGGAGCAGAAACCGACCATTAATTATTCGCAACTGTTATATGCCCACGAACACGAGACCAAGAAACAACACAATACCGCAGACGGATGGAACAGTATGCCTATGAGGTCGTAACAAGATACCGATGCATTCCAACTAACCACCTACAGGGTCGATTACGAGCACTTTGACGTAACATGACGGCGTGCCAAACGAGGTGGACGCTTGGCTGGGTGCACCCAGCGTAGCGAGTTCAATAAAACCATGAAGGTCGACATCAGTGTCTAATCTCGTCGAACCCTAGGCTATTGATTCTGGAGAATTGTGACTCTACAGGCATCTAATTCCCAACTTCGTAAGCTTTTCAAATGGCTGCTTTACTGTGTACAGCATTTCGGGATCTAACTGTCGAGTTTTGGACGAGATTGAGGGATCTTTTGTAACAATATGGCACCACAGTATGTTTCAGCAAGAACTTTGTGTAGTTCGTTTGCATGAGCTCGGAGAATTCCAGCAGTAGGTTATCATATTCTGAAGTGATACTGATCGGAGTCACCACCAGATTTATGGTTTCTGTATCCGTTACAATGACCAAGATGGAATATCTACTATTACGGCTAGCCAGTCTACTGCAACTGTGGATGATGGGAGACAATTTGTTCAAAGTGACGAATCCCCGCTAAAATAGTATATGGAAACCAAAGTCCAGAATCAAAACTCTGGGCTCACACATGGTAATAGTGAAAGGAAACGAGAAGATAGAGACGAAGAAAGGAATGTTTATTGTTAACAAGCGGTACAGTAGTCGTTAAATATGGTACACCTTGTACTAAGACGGTCATCTGCAAAATGTGCTTCGTTTCCTCTCCTGCTTCTCCCTTGACTTGCTCGCCATACGCCAGCCTTGTCTCTTGACACAGTCCTTACTCCCTACTGGTAGTTCCTTATGATTTCTGCCGCCCTCTCAACACATACCATATATCCATTCTTATCAGCAACTCCCACTACAATAGTAGATCCTTTTGCCTCTTGGAGCACGGTGTTGGGGTGGTGTTTTTCGAAAGTTGTGGGCGGAATCCGGCTCACTTCTGCCACAGTGTCAACCAGAAACTGCGCTCCCGTCTTCTTATTCGCTCTCCGAAACAAACGACTGCATTGTTTTAGGCTGGAGACAGTAGTCGTCACTGACGTCCGGCCTTTATATTTCTTGAAAAACGGAGGGTTTAAGGTCGTATGGCAACAGACAATGAAGTGCCTTATTGCCAAATTTTTTTATGATACCAGGATGCGCTACTTTTCGACGCAGTCCCGACTAAAGGACCTACTTCCATAGAACTCCTGCTACCGTCTGTGTAACCCCAAAGCTGTCAACTTTCCTGTAAATGTGTCAGTTATTCTCTCTTAAGCAGCCACTCGGTCACTGTGTGCTGGCTCAGCAGTACTTTCAACCCGTCAAGACATTTTTCACACATACGACCTACGATGCCTGCCAACCTATCGGTGTCAGTGTCTGCATCTCCAAATGCTAATATATTTTGAATACATGAGGGAAGTTTCCGTAGTCGAAACTAGTAAAATAGTTTATTATCTACGTTCCTGCCCTTCAACAGACTTTGGATATATCATCTAAGTTGTGAAGGTGTCCTGCCGCCAAGGCATACGCTGCTTAGCAGTTGACAGTCAGCTTTGCGGTCAGATAATAAGGTAGCTTTTATCACTCCTTGCTTCAAAACATCATAAAGTGTGTCTGGGTGGGGCTTCGATGGTATCTCCCTTACCTGTTCAGCAACTTCTGGTAGGACAGAGCTTGTGTATCCAGACTTTGTTTTGTGGCACTATATGGTAAGCGACGAGGAAACGTTCTGGACGGACAAACTAAAATTTGAAGTCAATAAACTTAAGAGATAGCATAGGAAGACTTATGGTACCCGTGGACCCTACATTCGAAAAGTCCTAATTATAGGAGTTTATAGACATCAGTACTGGTACGGCGAAATGCAAAAGCGTCAACAGCTGAAAGGAGTATGAGTAGGAAAACTCCAATACATTTATTAGTAGCTGCAGATGCAGTCGATGACAGTAGCCACCAGTAAAACCCCCGGAGATTCGAATCACATCCGGTTCACCATTTTGTTGAGCCTTGGTGTCTGATATAATTTATGTGCGCTTAGCGAAATACTATCGCCTTTCCTATCAACCCGGACAATGTTGGTCTACCAGCACAAGACAGTGTGAGTAGAAGGAGATAGTGCGATGTGTCATTGCACTAACAAACAAACCGTCAGCTCTCTTGAAGACGGCCGACAAGACCGCACCCTTCCACTAGTCTGCTTGACTCTTGCAAGTTCTCGAAGAGATGACCGGTTGGTTTCACGAGTACCTCACACCATTTCTTCAGGACTACCTGACTAATGTGACCACAGCAACAAGACTTGTTTCAACACAGCCTAGATAGCTTCTATAATACATTTCTGAGATGGGGATGTGATAAAGACGTTCATTTCCACCAGTCTGTTGATCGTCTTTACGCAACGGTGCTAGTTTAGTGCCACAAGTACTAAGCTGCACCTCACAGTGTGATTTTAGAAGCTCAGTTAATTGCAGACTGCTGAGTACATCACTATTGGAGTAAGTAATGAGGATGATTCTTTTGCTAACCTATTCGATTTTCTAAGTAGTTTTACAGCTACTTCGAATAGTTACCGATGATTTTCAGCAGCTGTCTTGAGAATTGTAAAATAGTTTGTTTACGGGCATCTAGTGCCAGCTGCCTTTCTCCTAACTACAACTGATTAAAAAAGCAGTTAAATTAAGAACGTATTTTCAGTGAATTCTTGCCACAATCTACAACCACATTCATGAATCACTTAGTATAGTCCACTGATACCAACAGAGCTTATAAAATCTGGGCACACGTTTAAGATGATAACATTAAAGGTGATAATAAAAATATCTTGCAAAGTTTATATCGCATCTACAGTCAGCCCTCATGGGTGTGCGAGTGGATTGTGTATACGGATGGCGATAGAAGCGAACAAATTATTGTCGCATGGCAATAAGATAATAAAGCATTTAAATTCTTGATTAATAATGAAACTGAATGCAAAATATAAGACTGAAATTAAGACGACATGCAACGATGATAATGATTGGAGCGCACACAAACGTAAGTATTTACACTTACCCGGGTACCGAGGGAGAAAATTACAATAATTATACCCGGGTTGAAGGTCATGACAAGAAAACAGAACGAGCAAATATCCTGCATGCATAAATTAGCTTTAACAATCTTAATTACTATAGTGAATGCTAAGGTTTTGTCAACAGTACGCTCAGCATGCCCCAGACGGGTGAGTATTGAACTTTTGATGGATTTTACCGTTTACTTACTTAACCACGCTGGAGAGTATTCACTGAAGCGATGAGCTTGCTGGATCGCTCAAACTACTATCTATGGAGAAGCAGTTGAGTTTATAAATACGCAAGAATGTGACCAGACTCGGTAGCAGAGGAACATCGGTAAACACGGAGACAACTGATTTTATTTGTAATTCATAGTTACGTAACATGAAGATAAGCATACCACTTGTAACCCTGAGATGCATTTTATTTGCACGATAAATGTACAGTTTGAATTGAAAGATGAAGTTTACGGTCAGATAGAAGGTATGGCAAAGCGTTCACCACTAGGTCCAAACACTAAACTGGAGAATCAGTAATCTACTCTGACATTGTCGGCCAGACGACAACTACACTGAGTTTTGGAGTGGCTACCACGATGTCTCCAAGAACATCGAAGGCTCTCATACAGTGAGAACCAATCTCCTTCAGGATCATGACAGCAAGATCTAACTTAAAAGGAAAGAAAGTGGAGATAGACTGGACATACACTGAGAAGGCCGACTGGGGACATCACGCGCCAGGCCATCGAGTGAAACCCAAAGGGGAAACGACGAGTTGGGCGTCCGAGCGTGACATGGAGAATATCGTGTGAGGAAGAAATGAAAGCTTGTGGGCAGTCGTGGTGCCAGGTCCAAAAGACTGCAGAGAACGAAGTGAAATGAAGACGTGCTACTGAAGCCCTGTTTCACTAGGAACCCAAGGGAAAACTAATAATAATAATACTCCAGACTGACATCATTTCAAGATCCTCAAGATTTCATTAACGAAGTGAAATGCAGCACCAAGTAAAGCACAAAAATCAATAGTCTACAGTCTCCAGATCCTCAGCATTGGCTACCAATATTTATAGTCTTGAATTTCTTTTGCAACTGAAGGCAAGTAGACAAGGGCTACTGCGTCGCTCAAGCACAACTAGCTAGAAATTCAGTGCATCTCTGTACGTTAGCACGAATATATCTTCACTCGCAGATAGTCAAAAAGTGGTTAATCCATTATCTCGCACTGGATGGTTTTGAGTAACGAATCAGTAATATATATGTGTCAACTGGGGTCATGTAATCAGTTACCAAACACTTTGTGATGGAAATAAACTGACATCAGATAACAGTGAAACTAACCGGAGAATAGGTATTTTTACTGCCACTTAAGAGCCGCGCAATATGGCGAATTGACAGAAGTTGGAAACTGTGAACCACCGAACCCCGACTCAGTGGCTGGATGGTTAACACGTTTGCCGTGAAACCCGAAGGTCTTGAGTTTGATCCCTAGCCAGGTCGTTGTGCTTACTGCTGAGGAGTCGCATACTAGGATGAAACAGCCGTCTAGTGCTACCAGGTTTCCAATGTTTCTTCAGCTGATGTTAATCCATGATGAATACCACCGGAAGATTAATGATAATGAATAAAAACCCACTATCTTATCCATATCATACCACAAAGTTGTCAAGAGTCAAGTAACATGTCAGCAGTAAGGTAACCAATTTCTAAGTAATGAATGCCTTGTCAGAAATGAAATAGGCGACATTTTACTTTTTTTTCCATTAAGAAAACAAGACATATATGCATAATTATAGTTGTTTTAAAGGCAAAATAACATAATATATCTGGAAAGACGTCAAATAAGGTGTGTGGTTTGATGATCAATTAACACATAACATGGACAGTTCATCTAAGAAATGTTAATTGAGAACTATACATATAGATCGATCTCGCAGACACAAGAAAAAACATCAAAAGTATTCTAAAAGGCTAGTACACAGGGAATGAAATAAATCACACATTTAACAAATAAAGTTTGATATGTATTTACACGAATTCCTTCATAGTGACAGGACGCCGAACTGCATTAGAGTAACCTTCTTTGAAGCGATAGTAAATATCTCGATTTATAGTGGATTCTTTGGTGTTTGTATGACCTATTGTGTAAGATGAAATAAAAACAACTTACCTTCAGATATACTCGCACTGTCGGTACTTTGGACTTTATCACCGATAACACGTCCAAAGAAATCTCTCTTCATCTGAAAAATAAGAAACATAGCTGAATACATTCAAGTTTTCTATAAAGACTCATAATTCGAGATAGTCTGTTATTTTTTAAAGCAGAATGATTTAAGAACTATCGTGTTTTAGTAACATTGGAAGAAGTTGTTAGGGTAAGTTTTACAAAGCCATTGAGATTATTACATCTACTGCAAGTATTATAAACAGATAACTGAATTTGTGAACAACACACTATGACTGAATAACGCTCCAGAGAAGTGTAGACTCTTGATTGGGGTTAGCATGACAACGAGAATCGGTGAATAGATACTAAGTAATGTGGCTTAAAATTGAACAGAGTGATTAATCTCTGAGGATTTCCATTACATTATTCCAGCTATATCTGTCTCGTAGTCCACTACATTGTATACTGATGTGATAATATGAAACAATTGTAAGATAGACATGATAAAAGGGTTTTACATTGATCAGTTTATAATGTGGTTATGAAACTCTAAACTTTTAAAAAATGATCCTTACTAACAGAATGCGAATTTCACACAGAACACTTAAAATACCTTTAAACTTTTTGCAACTGGAGTTCTCGATATATTCATTAATGTATCCACAGGATTTTTCAACAATGGTTTTGAATTCTCTTTACTGATGGAATTAAAATCGGTAGGTTTATTGACATTACGACTGTTAATTAATTCTGAACGTCGAACTCTTTCGAATTCCAATTCACGGGAAATAAGTTGTTTAGTAGCATATCCAAGCTGCCTTAGACTATTTGACTTTGTGAAACAAGCAACAATGTCCAAAGCTCTGTTGTAAAAAAATGTACTCACATGAACATATCACTTATGAGGACACATAACAAAAATTAAGTTTCGCAAGTTTCAATATCAAAAGATTATACTATACCTGTCTCATAAGGAGTGAGGTTATCATGACTCAGTGGCCTGGCGGATAAAAATGATAAACGACAGAAAGGTCAGAGGTCAAGCAGAGGAACAGTCAATGACACAACAATCGAAGGAAGCAACCAATCATAGACCACATCCCCAGAGCAAGCCACTAAATCACTCAAGGTGAGATATTGACAGCTCACTCCATACTGAAGTTAGTGCCGATGATGTCGTCCACAAAGACGATGAAAGCTTCACGATTAAACAACCCAACCCAGAGAACACAATACAACCAAGGCCATACACCTGAGCTACAAATGTTCTCCATTATTTCGAAGTGACTGGTTCCGGGTTAAGGTCTTAGTGGGAATAGCATCAATTATTGGTAGTCAGGTATATCCAGCTGACGAGACCCTAGTAGGACGAGACATGCGCCCTGGATTCTACTGGTAGTTACTATCCATTATTAGTATCAAAATGTTATGTTAATTTACATCACTGAAATGATTGTTCCGGCTTGCTGACCAAGTAAGTGTGTATAACAAATTAAGAATTCAAGTTTGTTTGTTAACAGAAGTTATATATTAATGAGCTAATATCAAAACTCGATGAATACATTATACGACAAAACCGCAAAAACATAATTTTTTCTGAATTCAAAGACCAATATACCACAAATGAAAGAAACTGTTAAAATACGCTAGTGAATATTATCTAGTTGATCATCACGCTATGGAGCTGCGTTACATTGGGTTTAAGGAGTTGACTTTCAACCAGTGAGTTCGAACACCGTACCAACTACCGAGGTTTAGGCATGGTACATATTATCACTAACCCTCACACAATAGTTATGGTTTATTACTTACTGCTCGAATCTGTACAAGGTTGCTGAGTGGATTCCGATCATCACAGTTCACCTACTATATGACGATGTTTTCTAAAGAATGAACAAAAGTCACATTATTTAGGTCACCTATAATATATATGACCAGATAATCGGAACAAACTGATAAAAATACTGCTAACAAACGAATTATACCTCATTACGTTGGACTGTATATAAAGAATGAACATGTGATATGATCCAGGGTACAAAAGTGGCGATATTATTTCAGTATATATACTTTTTTTTTAACCTCGCCTGGTTAACTAGTTCACTAGCCGGTCCTAAGCCCGGGTAAAGAGGGAAGGTTGGGTGTAGGGCTAGCAACCCTACCCCGTAAAAGCCAGGATCGGAAAAGCAAGACAGGCGTTCATTAGCTTGAAACCAGTGTGGAGATCTTCTACACTCAGCATGTGGAACAAGATCGTGATTTTCAACACCAACGTCAAATCAGTGCTTCTGTATGGCTCAGAGACTTCGGGGCACGTTACGAAAGCGATTTCCAACAAATTACAAACATTCATCAACAACTGCCCCCTACGCTGGCTCGTTACTGAAGCTCAGATGAGAAGGTCAGAAAGAATAAGCAACAAGGAACTCTGGCTGATGACAACGAACCAAACAAGAACCCATCGCTCAACAAATATGCAGAAGGAAGTCGAGATGGATTGGATTGGGCATACACTGAGAAGACCGACTGGAGACATCAGGCGCCAGGCCAGGCCGTTGAGTGGAACCCCAATGGGAAGTGACGAGTTGGGCGTGAGGTGAGGGTGACATGGAGGAGATGGTGTGAGGAAGAAATGAGAGCTTGTGGGCAGTCGTGGAGCCAGGTTCAAAAGTTTGCAGAGAACAGAGTGGAGTGGAGACGTGCTACTGAAGCCCTATGTTCCACCAGGAACCTAAGGGACAAATAATAAATAATAATACATACATACACTTTAACAAAACAGAATCACAAACAATTATTTTTTTGAAAAAATCGCTTTATTTCAAACAATATGTATGACAGTATGGAATTTTTCAACAAGTCCACTCCCAAAACATTACTTTCAGACGAAACGGGCGGGGACTAGCCATAAATAAATTTAACCCCATTGTGTGTGCAAAAAATAGTTTGTCCTTATGTTAAGCCTACCTTGGTAATGCTTATTTTATCGTATTACCGAGACTGTCTTCAAATCTTATCTATTTTTTTCCCTTTCATTATCTTTCTTATAATTGAATTCCTTTATGTTATATTTGTCTTTCCCCCACTTCCAGTTTTCATATATAATGCCTTAACAAGTAAATGTGTGATCAGATTGTTCAAAATGTATAGCGCTAATACATCACATTTTCCAGATAATCTACGTCTTCTAATTACATTATCCAAATTCATAAAAGAAATTAATTGTTTCAGAAACGGCTATTGCACCGGAATGATGTGAATAATAACAGTATTCAAGGCAATAATGTGAAATAGTCAGCTGGATGGGTATTCAATCTATGATGAAGAATAAACAGAAATGCAAGTATAACATCGGTGGTGATAGTTCATTCAGACGGTGCAGAAATAAGCAACTCAAGTTAAGTATCTGACGGATAGAAATATGATGTACTTTTTTGCACTGAAAAGTCCACTTCCATATAACGTAACATTTTTCCTCTGTTTTGTTATTAACTTGAGAAGTGGAGAGTAGGAAACAGTTTAAAAATGTGCAAGAGTATTTGATACGTTCAAAAGGATATATTTAAATGATTAAAACAAATTTGAAAAGAAAGAATTTGGTGAAAAATATTCGATGAATAAATTTAGTAGCCCAAGGTTCAAAACAGGCCCTCGTCAAGTCGTATGTAACAATCACTTCATTAATATAAAACCGTGACCATTCGGGTGAAATTGAATATGAACTGGACAGTTTACCGACTTTGATAGTGCAGTACTCTTAAGTAGTAACCTTATTCAATTGCTATATTCCAAAATTCTGTAGATATTTTCTTAAAAGGGTTTGAATAAGGAAGAACTTGAAGTCTCTCGAATAAGAATCCTCATTAACGGACACCTTCTCAAGATGTACGAATAGAAATTTAATTTAAAAAAACCACATATATCCCTCAGTCACAAAGCTAAAGCAGATTTTAATCCTGAATTCCATATTTTAAGGGAGATACAATACCTGAAAATGCAACAGGCATATCTTTATATTTTGCTACTACTTATCTCCGAGTCCTTGCCTGACTTCGAGGTAAACAAAGGATAATTCACTGCTTATACATGCATACATATGTATTTATGATTCCGCATATTCTTGAGAAACTCAAAACATTTAGAGTTGTAAGTGGATCCTGTCGAAATGCGTTTTTCTGCGCTATCTGATTGGTTTTTTAAAAGATGAACAATGGACATCAACATAATTCACCTAGAAAAATCAAACGTAGTCAGATAATTCAGTTGCTCGTTATTCAACTGTAAAAATAATCAAGCTGAACTCCCATTTCATTTACGTATAGTCTAAGCATTAGCTATACATAAACAGTCACCCAAATCACACATTGAAAGTAACTTGTAAGACTCCTCTTTTTTCAGACCCTAACAGAACCTTTTTGAAACTGATCTTATTCTACGGCATTTTATGATTATATTATTGAAAAAAAACGAAGAAATTCATCGAAAAATTCTTTTTCCTTTCGATGACTGATTTTCAGTAGCTACACAATTGTATTTATAATAATAAAAAAGAGTAAATAAGTCTATATACCCCGACCTTAATAAATGATGTTGTTACTACTCAAACCCAGCGTACATCGCTTCAAACGCCAAAGCGTTATCCACTAGGACACCGGAGCACAAGAACTATCTTTTATGCAATGGGTATCGGTTATTATTATTTACTGATACTTATAATTCCCTATGCAGGTGTACATCCAAATGAAGAGTCCCAAATAAAACGTAACGCATATTCTGGATTCGATTGCTAGTCACCACCAGGCAAACTGAAACATAATCAATAATCAGACAGTATCGAGCCATCCCCAAAGGCAAACATATGCCAACTGAGGTTGGTCAATTAGAACCAGAACAATAAAAGGCAATTACAAGTATCAGTAAATAAACAAATAAGTTTATTATTGTTTAATAATAGGTCAATATTAAGTCATGAAAACGGAATGTTCTAGGGTGAAATAGTGAGTTGTACTTAGAGTTAGAAAGAGATTACATAATACTAATGCTAATAGGGAAAATATGCAGTCGATCACGGTGATAGCTAATAGGTTGAAAATAATATTACTAATTACAATCAATAATCGGAGTAGAGTATTATGAGAATTGATGGGAGACTGGAACTAACATGTTAGAACGTTGGGAAGTTAACCATAGAGTAAAAACAGTGAAAAATAATCATGCGTCAGTAATAGTAAGATGAATATTGAAGCGATAAAGAAATTCAATGAACGATCGTGGCCATGGTAAAATAAGAGAATGGACGTACTTATTCTGTAAGTAGAGTTTAGGCTAGGTGAAGATGTTGGTAAAATGCAGTCTTTTGAACGTCTCAAGTAGAAATCTGATTGTTATTCGTATGCATTTCGCACATGTCAAATGCAAGATGCTGTTTTAAGACTGGTCTGCAACTACTCTCAGTTTAATGATAGGGAGTGAAGTGGTGGAATGTGACGACCACATCAGTTACTTGGGGAGTTGTATCCGCTCAAACGGGCTACTTGATGACGAAATCTCAGTCTATTTGGTATTTACCAACTTGTGTTATCTCTGGCTCCAACTGGTGACATATCTGACTACCTATTAGAGAACGGGTATATTGCGCTGAAGTTTATTCTTTCGTGTCATACGGCTGTGAGACATGACCGTAAAAAATAAAAGATATGAAGCGGTTATAAGTTCCTGATCATGGTGAGATCCCCACAATGTGAGGAATATTGAGGCCAGGTGAAGGGTACTATGCAAGGAAGGTAAATCAGTCGATAAAGTTGTAAGTCTTCGTCGACTGAAGTGGCTTGGACATGTATTGGGTACATCAAGAGACCTACTACCTCGACGTGCAACGCTGGGAGAAGTAAGACTAGGGTGGAAGAGGGTTCAGAGTGGCCAGGTCAAGATGTGGCATCAAAGTAGGAAGTCTCTGATTGTTGTTCTGAGCTGTGTAGTGAGGCGTAGACTAACTAACTGGCTGAGGTCCCCGATACCATAGGAGCCTGTATTTGAGACATCTTGGTGACATGGCTGAAAACCGGTCAAATGGCTCAGATGTATTCCCTATTTGATGTTTTCTAAGGCTTGAATGTTTTGACTAACCTTAGTTTTTAAATTTCCTGTCTTTCCATGTACTTTTTAATACTTTCTTTTTTATCAGCTTGTTTCTTGTATACTACTGTAAAGTGTGGCAACTTGAACCAACACATTGTGCTAGGTTCTACGTTGATTCTGTCTGTCCGTCAGGCTTCAATTGTTGGGTCGATGACGCCTGTGCCATGCATAAGCGAAGAATCCGCACCCCCTTAGAGCCGTTTGGCTTGACTTTGTACGGGATTTCGAAACAAGACCGTGAAGTAGCGAAATGACAAGAGTTAACCAAATGGTTCGAGAAGGAATTGTTGCTTTGACTCACGTTCTCCCCTGGAAAACCAAGGAGGATAGTGCTCGAAAATGATTTTCGAAAGATGCCGCTTTGTACGGCCTACTTAACCGGCTCCAAAACAGCAGGTAAACTGAAATACGCACATGGATATGATCCAAAACGGCAGTTTGTCCTTCACACCGCATTGGACTAACTGTCGGTTGGAGAAGATCATTCGCAGTTCGGCAGCATAGAATGTTTTCTTGAATGCTTTAGAAAGACGATTCTACGGTATTTCTGCAGAGCTGTTCCCTTTGAGATTCAATATTCACGAATAATTTCTTCTTAGAAACTGTGACAACTTATTCTTGTCTTTGTTTTGGGTGTATTATTTTGCGATGAATCTTTGGGGATAACCATTCTGAATAAGCATTTTTTTCAAGATACTCCGACTCTTCGTTCATTGTGTCGCTTTTGCGAATTCACCTTATCCTCATGCAGAGCAAATGAATAAAGTCCCTTTTTCACCTTGGTGATACCCAACTTTGGAAAGTAAGTTGATTGAGTTTTTACATTATAGTTTACTTTCCAACATCTTAACATGTTAGTTCCAATCTCCCACTAAAAATCTCATAATACTCTACTCTGATTACTGATTGTAATTAGTAATATTGTTTTTAATCTATTAGTCATCACTGTGATTCACTCTATATTACACAATCTCTTTCTAATTCTAGAGAGGACTCAATATTTCACCCCCGGGAATATTTTGCTTTGATGACTTAACGTTGACCCCTTACTAGCCAATGATAGACTTTTTTGTTTGTTATTACCATGAGTACGATTGTACAGCCACTGAAAATGATTCTTCAAAAGGGGAATTTTCTTCGCTAAATTGCCTGATATTATTATTATTACTTGACACTACATGACACAGATTTCATATCTTGAAGCCAACTTTTAGTGAACCTGTTGTTTTCGGTGTGTCCACCACCTCAATCATGTTCACTTCTGTTGTGTCTACAGAAGCTGAGTAATTTCTAATGAAATTAATTCAGTTTTTTGTCATACAATGTGACAATAAAAGTTTTGAAAATAAATGTTTCTTCACTAAAAAAAATCTTGTTCGTCTCATTTAAGAGAATGAATAATAAATGAATGTCATGAAGAAAATATTAAGACATACAAATATGGATGAGATCACTTTGTCATGAGTAAATTTGTTCCAATTGATTATTATTAATAAAGAATGATCAAGACTTACGGATCAAGTTGATACTGAATTCCATCGCTATCTGGATCCTGTTCAACTGTCCAATTCAAGCCCAGATTCAACATTAAATTAACCAATTTGTTAAGCGCTAACTTTTCTTGTTGACTATACAACTGTGCACTTAATGGACGTAGTCCTGATGCAAGCAAACCCAAAAGACTGATAAGAATCGATGCCATATCCAATAGAAAATGTCGGTGTGGTAAAAATCTACAATAATTTGTCAGAAAAATAATTATTTCTATAAACGACCAACTTTTTAAAAAATCTTCCATACAAGACAAGTAAAAATCCGGAACAAAGTTCCTTATAGAGATTAACTGCTGTACTGGTTAGTAATTTTTAATATGGGTGAGTTCTCCTTTGAATAACAGTTCACTAACATAACTCAGAAAAACAGTGGATTACTTACTTCCTGATATGTGAAGTAATGAGCACTGAAGTTTCAGTTTTGTTAAAATCCCGATACATCCAGCTGAACCAATGACTGGCTAAGATTTCACTACTAGTCACGACTATGTAAAATAAAGTACTAAACACATAGTGTCTAGAAGACTTACGCAAAGTATTTTTAGATCACTACATTGTTATGTAAAAGACTTCAATTGTGCTTCCAGTAGTTCCTCCTCTTTGAAACAGTAAAGTTGTATAGCATTCGGCCCAGTACACAAAATTAAAAGTTTATTTTACCTGGTATATAAATTATTAATCCTCTGTTTAAAATGATAACTAAACCAACATATTCAAACCTTTATGTAATTAGTTACTCTTGGAACAGATGTTCATAAAAAGCAAGTTTGACACATACCGAAAACTGCTAAAACCATTGGTAGAACTGACAGAGTTAGCAGGTGCACCTCGAGGTTGATTCCACTGATTCAGATGCAGCTCATCCAATATTGCCAGATAACGTGAACGAGTTGCTGCAGCTTCAATTGGAGTAGACGGCCAACGTAAACTTCTCATATATTTTGTATTTCCTGTTGGTGCGGAATGGTTAAGTAGACCAGATGGAGTGGCTATGGCTAAATGAAACCAGCAAGGCAACCATCCTGCATATCGTAAAAGCGTGTAATGTGACTTAGACAATGCGTAATTGTTCAGTAGATCGTCAAACACAAACCAATCAGCTGCTTGACACGCCTGACAAGAAAAAACAGGTGATAGAATGACAAGAACAAATACTTTGCTTTATCAAACTCCATCAAGAGAACAAGCGTAACACGACTAAGTACTCAAGTATATTAAGTGTATTAGGCATATATTACTGAACTTACCACTCGTAGTGTTGCGTCCTTTAATCGACCATAGAGATAGTTTTCAAAAATACCCATAATTATTTGTTGATGATCAGCAGCAGCTTCAGTGATACTCAGTATATAGTTTAGTCTTAATGAGTAAAAATTACACAAATGAAACCGTTTATGTATCATTAGAAAAGTAAGATATAAAGTAAATCGTAAAAAGTAAAAGCAATTCTATCGGTGACTACACATAGCCAAAAATGCAACCATGATTTGGTAATGTATAAGAGGACTGGCACACTAATGGTGAAGTAGTATTATCACATACTAGTCAAGAATGAATGCATGTGAGTAACAAGTATGCGAAGTCTGAATACCTCAGTAAATTCTGCAACAGACTGAATAGTTCTCCCAAAACAATGAGAAACATACTGTTTACTAGATTATCAAACAGACTAACACTGGATAGGCACTACAAAACGGTCGGTGAAAATAAAACCATCTTTAAATACCGTATATCTTTTTCAAAACATTTGTGACAGAACTTCAGAGATATAACAGTGAATAGTACCCAACCAGTTGCTTAAATCATGGAAAGTAAGAAGAGAGTGAAAATAGATATTGAATTGTTGAAAATCGGGTAAACAAAACTTATGAGTGAAACATTCTATGAAAGATTAAACTTTGCATTAGAAGCATCGGATAGATGCCGTAGAACAACCACATCAGTCATGAAGAGATAAGGCAGAAAATATTAGAAAGAGAGGTAAGTTGTGTTGAGACTGCAAGTACAGTAGATTCCGAACGCCTAATCAGGATGCTGAATGAATGAAATAAGATACTCAAAAACTCGCTCAGCTAACATACAGAAGAAGACAACACTGATATAAAGACGTTTAATTCAATCCCAGGCGTATGAAAACAGACCCACAGTTTTCAGTTTTATACACAATGAGAATGCCACTGAAGCGAAACGGACATGTTAGAAAGGAAGAACGATTAAATAGTGTCCTTAAAACTGATAAAAACAAGCGATACGTGCAAGTTGGAAAAAAGACACGAAAAATTAGATTTCCGATACACGACGGTGGCTGAAGTACGGTTCAGACCGGAAAAAGTTTGAACATGAGAAGGCTAAAATTTGGTATCAGTTTGGGAAATATCTGACTCTCAGTCTCAGCCGTGTAAAGAAATTTAAAGTTGTCAGCTAGGATCTGTACGACAACCAAAGTCGGTGACTGGAGACTCTAGGCGTTACGGTTCAGAATCGATTTAAGTGACACGGAAGTATCCATGAACTATTTTCATCCTAACAGTCAGATCGATTCCGTGATTTGCTTCAACCCTATTTCTTGTCTTCTGATGACTTTCCGAGACTTAAAATCACATTTCTTCCTGTCTATCTATATTTCATCTAGTGCTCATTGGTGACTAGCTTCGAGAAGTGATTCCCGGAGTTCTCATGAGAAGTCGTGACCAGTGAAGTCAACCAAGTCGAAAATGAGGACAGTTACTCAACAAGCTTATTAAGTGGAGGTCAACTTATATCGTTAACTGACAGAAGTAGGAAATGTGGACCACTGGGCTCCGATCCAGTGGCCATGAAACTCAAAGGTACTGGTTTCAATCCCTGGCGAGGCAGGGTCATAGGTGCGCACTGCTAAAGGAGTCTCATGCCAAAACGAAACACCTGTTGAGTGCTCCCAATTTTCCCATGTTTCTCCAACTGATGTCAGTCAATTACGAATACCAACCTAGTTTCTTTCATTGTTTCCTTAAATTTTCTGATATGAATTCCGGCAACTTGAACCGCTACGCGGCATACTTAAATCCCGTATTGATAATGAATGAAAGTTGATAATTTCTGGCATTTTTTTTGGAGTTTAACAGCTTTCTTCACTGAAATACAGATCTACGCAAATGACTAACAAGATGGTTACTACAGATTATTATTTCGAGTTTCTGAACAATTCCTATATCCAGTGTTTGAACGTAAAATGTGTACTTAGTGAACATGCAACTTGTTTACACCATAAACGTGAGGTGAAAATAATATAAGGTTTTATAACCGTGATAACTTTCAACCAGCCAAATAAACTGTACACCATTTTACAGGAGAATAAAAAAAACATGTGTTGTAACTACATGACTACGTATCAGTTCATATACTATGCAATGGGCCACATTTCAGAATTTCTCTGATACCGTCTAACTGTCGACACTTTTGTCGCTACAATGCACAAGTCACTGGTTGAAAACTTGATGCCTAATCTAGTGTGACACACTTGAATATAAGTCAACTTAAAGTTAACCGAATACGGGAATTCAGTGTTATGTATCTAATGCAGCATCAGAAGTGTTCATTTGAGGCGTATTGATAATGGATGAAGTTGAATAAATAAATCAATGAATAAACACGATAAGAAAGTCAGTGGATGGAATTGCTCCGACTTATGAAACAACGTTTATTAAAGCATAATCGTTTTCATTCTTGTACTACTGGAATTTCTGTACGTAGATGAATGTAACCGCAACATCGAAAACAATTTATAAATGAATACTTAACAGAATTCCCAGACTGATCCATACATCAAACAGTGTGAGTAAGCCTTATTGAAATTTATCCTATATATTAAAAACTTAGTTCAGAACATTTAGCTTGAACTAACCTTTATGTCTAACTTGTTTTCTTACCATTCACCAAGTTTCAGATTAGTCTAGGGGTTCTATCCAACCAGGAGTTTGCTAAACACCCGGCCCATAGTGAGAACGGCATAAATGAGGACGACTTAACTGTGAAGCCTTCACAGATCAAGCAGAAGTTGAACGAAACGTACAAATGACACAAGAAGTTAGAGAAAAATTGAAGAACTTACCTAGTAGATAAAGTATTACAACTGCTAGTATTTTTACAACTTGAAAGTAGACGTTGTGATGGGATAGTGAAAATAGCTTTCCATACATCAAATAGACTTTTATGAACATCTTTCAGGCCACTTTGAGATTGAGAAAGCGATAAAATATCATTAACTGACAAAGTGTTGAACTTTTGACTGATATTATCCGCTGATTTCACTGAGTCTAAAAACTAGAAGGCATAAAAATGTGTATTTAGGTTGTTTGCTTGTAGATTTCTGATTACATCAGGCATCACTTTTATCGTAAACCTACGCCAATCACTCGTTTTGTAAACTAGTTTTTACTTCAAAATTCATGTGTCTTCATTAGGATTTCGCAATACTAAACGATTACAGTTATTATGAACATCAATCTTAAAACTTTCAAGATCTTGCCAGCACCTAGAATCATGTAGCAGTTGACATTCTATGATGATCCAGTCGATGTGTGATGTCACCTATGGTCTGGTGCCAAGATGATCATTCAGCTTCATATATCAAAATTTTCATCCAAAAGTATGGCTACTGTTTGCTTTTCAATCATTAATGGTGACCGGGGAATAGATTAAAGAGTAAATATGAGGTTTATTTCATCAGAAATTCTTTAAGGGAAACAATTTACTCAGGGAAAATAGTGCATAATACGTGTTGATTAACAATCAACACGTTTCGCCGACAGAAATACGTTCAGTAGGTTAAAGCTGATGATTTACGAAAATATATCAGAGTTGAGAGAGAACTGAACATTAAGAAGTATCACAGCTATGCACTACTGATAACTCTGAGGATAAGAAAGAGTAATACTGAATTTATGCTTACTTTTTAAATGCTTCTTGGTCGCTATTGACATCTGGTGAAAAATGTGATATAAATCACTTACTTCGCTCGTCACCTTCAAGCACATGCTACTTTTTGATGCAACTAGTAGAGATAAATCGTTTCTGCGTAAATGTCTTGTCAAATTTCCAACATATATGTGTTATTATTTTCGCTACCTGAGATGGCTGTGGTTTGGCAGACTTGTATGTGATACTGAGGGATGACTGAAAGTGAAATGAAAATCTGGGACTCGAACCAGTAACCTCACGCTACGACCCTACCTCTTTTTCTAACAAACCACTGTTTCGAATCCTGCTGAAACCAAAGTTCTCATTTCACCTGCGATCATCACCCAGTATCAATAAAATCAGCCTGACAAACCACGGCCATTTAGCCTCATTATTAAAATATCTCTTATTCCAAAAATATTACACATATGTGATACAGAAACACATGTTATATGTTGTGTAACTGTGACAGCAAGCCAAACAGAAGACATATTCAATTTCATCGAGTAAACATTTGAAGACATTCATCAGTAAAAAGATAGAACGTCATTTTAAAGCGTGCTTATCACTAAGATATACACGACAGAAATTTATAAAGATAAACAGATCAACTCCTGAGCAACAATATTCATAAACGAAATGTTTCAAAAGGACAGCTACGTATAATGCACAATCCAAAAGCCAGGAAAATTAGGAAAAAAACTACCGTTCACTGTATATGTAGCACACAAAGTACACGGGATACGACAGAATCTTTCAGCCGAACTGAATGATATGCAGACTAAAGAAGGTAAAGTGAATATACCCTACAAAATCATATTCCAATAATATCACATTCAGGTATTTTGATTATTTACCAGAAGAATTGATACCCATCAACCAGCTATCAAATCATACGCTAGTCCTTATATACAATACGGCTGAACGACATGGTCTCTGAAGGTAGGAAATATGAAAAGACCCTACAGCAGCACTACCCTGGTGTGGTGGAATCACCGTGTCAGCAATGTCGAGGTTAAGCAAACGGTATTATGCTAAGGCAGCAAGTCAATCGATAAAGTTGTGAACCTTCAACGACTGAGGTGGCTTGGACATGTGTTGCGTATGCCAAACCACTGCCTAATTCAAGGTGCTATATCAGCCGAGATAAGACAGGGTAGTAAAGAGGTCAAAGGCGACCAAACCCAGACATGGTACCAGTCCATGAAGTCTCTAACTGTTGGCCTGCGCTGTGTAAGCAGGTGCAGACTGCCAGGGCTGGGGACCTCAAGATAATACGGAATCACTGGTTGTAGACTCATGGTGGAATGGTTGAAAATCGGTTACAATGGTACAGATATATTCACTCTTTGACATTTCCACTAACCTTCAATAGTTCTTCTTTCTCGTCCCATATAGTTTTGTCTATCTAAGTATCACTTTTTCTGTCCAGGTGTTCTTCTACTGTAAAGTGCGGTAATCGGACTGACATACTTCTGTATCAATTTCTATGTCGAGTTGTCTGTTTTTGTATGTTGTTATTTGTTAGTTACCCATGGAAGTCAAGTGAAAGTGATGGCATTCAGTAAACGAAAAGGAAATATGAAGCGTTCTGCTAAGTGTTTTATAGGTGCTGAAATCTTTGGCTAATGTTGTCTAATGCTATACTTATAAAACATCCAATAACCACACAGTTTCTTTGTGTTAGTTATATGAGTGGGATAAAAGAAGTTCCAGTATTAAACAGATATTTGCTTTAGCATATAAGTTGTACATTGTAATGACCTCTTATCAAGATTTATGAAATCTCATGCAAGAAACTAGCGTCACATGATGTGCTCACTCGTTACACAGAATCCTTATCAAATTTACGGATCCAAAATGAATTTACATGCTATTTTGATATAAAATTTCAGTTGCTTTGCCTGTCTTTGTTTATTTCAATGTTTTTCACAGCTTTTTGAAATATGCGGTAATAATATACACTTGAATTACGATGGATAACTAGCAGTTAGTGACAAGTAAATGGAAATTAATTTAATACTTTACCTACTTGCAGTGTGTTTAAGCATGAACGAATGTCTCGATCAGACATTTCAGCCAACTGTGTAAGAGTCATTTTGTCAACAGCAAGTCCTTCTGTTCTAGCTATGATATCAAGCCGAGATACAAGACGTCCCAAGTCAACACTTGGTATGCGTATGATCAGGCAAGGAATTCCAGGGGCCCTCAAGGCTCGAACAGATGGTGAATATCTAGTATTACAGGACAAAACAGAAAGCATAAACATTAATTTTTGTAGACTTCAAAGAAAAAGTGCTTCTAGTGACATAATGTGTTGGTTTCCTTCTAAATACTAGTCAAGAAAGTAAATCTTTGTTTAGGAGAAATATGCAGAGAAATGGTGTCATTGTCTTGGTCAGATGAACAAAAAGACAGTGCCTCAGTTTGTAGACTCTTCTGAATATAGTACTCCAATTATGTTCAAATTGATGCTCATTTTTCTCCATTGGCTGAAAAATAATTACCATCAAATAAGACTATGCAATATATCAGATAAATTTATGGTATAAACGCTATTTTTCATTGACCAGTAGAAAGTGCTATCTGTAGATATTTGAAAGGGTCCTCACAACCTAAGACTGAGCTAAAGTTTCTTCTGTTCATACATACTGATAACATCCTAATTTAACTCAGCAGTGTATTCTGATAGAGCAGCTGAGGAATTTACACCAATATCTTTATGTGACATCTTCAGAAAGCCACTTCAAACTCTGCTAATGATACACACATGTTATATGTGAGGCAGACTGGTAAAACTATTTTCATCTATAAAGAATTTTATCAAGCAAAAAATATGCTCTACATTTTGATGAATATTTATCATAATACTACATACATATTTGCTGATATTCTCGCCTTCCCAGTGTCACCATCGGGATATTCCTATACACAACGTTTATAATGAAATACAAAGGAGTACCGGTTACAACTTTGAAAGATGAAGGGAAAGATAGATCATTGCTAAAAGTTTCAATGTTTGAGTTCAAACGCTCTATAAGACAGGATAGAAGTTCTACCTTAAAATAAGATTTGAAAAACTTAAACTAATCTGTAACTGATTAAACAATTTCCATTCGATAACCAGTATGAATGAATACACGTTTCATTGCTTCAAGGTAGGACATGAGGAGGTCCAAATCATCAACATCTTACAATGAAATATTATTATCCCTTTAAAAAAAACTGATGATAGTGGATGCGACAGACTTACGTGTTGAGTTTAGCTGACTGGTCAACATACAAGTGAAGCAGTAATATGGAAACTAGAGGTATACAAAAGGTCTAATTTGTAATTAAAAACATTCATTTTTTCTGATACTTTGAGCTTGTTTTCATATTATTCAAATAATATGAGAAAATATTCATATGGATAGTTCACACTTTTTAAAAGAATGGAAACAACTAGTGAAATATACTAATGAATAAGTTGAGTAGTTAGAAACCGCTCAGGGTGACATGAAGATTTACCCCAGCCAGAGTGATATAGACATCCGATGGTCGCTTCGCTCGTTTGAGACCGAACTAATCAGCAGTATACCTGCACAAATTCAGCTCGTATAGACAAATTAGTTTAGATAATCTGAATTTAGCTAGCTGACCCATAATAGTATGATCAATTTGCAGGTGATTTACACACTGTTCGGTTCATGATGACATTTTTCCCAGCTCAGTAGTTTTCCCAACAGTCTAACTGTAGTATAAATAGGGTTTCTGGTAATCTCTGGTACAAAAGTGTCATGAGCTAGTAAAATATACTACTGAACAACTTGAGTAGCTAAAACCAACTCAAGCTGATCTGTATGTTTCACCAGCCAGATCACAGCGGTCTCGCTAATTTGGGGATGAATTCATTAGAGCTGTACCCAGAAGAAAAATGTAAGGAAAAATAGATTAAACTTATGCTGATTTGTTTTTCCTATTGAAATCAATGCATGGAACATGAAGGAAAAAATACAACTAAGAGATCAATACTAAAAGATTGACTGTTTTAGTTCAAGCCCTCTATGAGACAGCGTACGAAAAAGGTGGTCACTTTCGCTGTATTTCTGTCACCAAAGTTATATATTACTAATTATGTAAATAAGACTGTAAAAAGTATCCAAAAAGAAGGATTAAACAAATATGACATGTTTCTGCGCACTCAGCATCCACATCCCATATCGCTAATTTTGAAATAAAACTGAGTTCAAAGTTAAAAAAAGACGAGTAAAGTGGTTACTGATCGTCCAGTTAACTAGTCATAAAAAGACGTTGGGAACTAGTTATGAAAGTTCCCACAAAAACTAGATATATCTCTGGTACTGACAAAACTATACGGCAACCTATTGGATGGACAATAAAGCGTAAAATATTTATGAACATGCAATCATATAGTTAACAGAAAATAGTGGTAGAAAACAGCAACAACAACAATTCATCAACTCAACTCACAAATCATTACATATACAAATAACAGGACGCCGTAAAACTAGAGGATGATTCGACCTTCGACCTCGTTGTTGTCGTTCAGATGTAGAAGGCAAAACATTTTTTGCAGCTGTGGCTAACAATTCAACTGCTGCCGGCATGGCTCCATCTATTTCATCCATAATTAAACAACAAGGTTTAAGATAAGTCTGATGATGATCAGAGTTAGTATTTTTCGATGTGTTTAAACTGGTTGAACTGGAAACAATGGCTGTAAGACGATCACGAAGAACACTGACACTACGATCATCGCTAAAATTAATAAGCAGAAATGTAGTGGGTAATTTAAAGTAGAGGGTAAATAAAAAATTACAACGCTTAAGTATGCATATGGCAAAATAAAGAACAATGGTTGTGTTCAAGTAATGAGTATCAATCAGACAATATACAAAAACTTAACTCTAGTGACATGTTAATGCTCAACATGGCACTGAACTTTTCAACAACACCGGTGAAAGAAAAAAAAAATCCACTAAAACTAATCTGAATGCTTGCTAAGTAAAAGGATATTTCAACTAAGTAAATTACTGATGGTTTAGAAACTGAACATATTTCAAGACTAGTAAGAGTCGAATAATCATAATAGAAACTAATGGTAGTAATAATCTTTAAGAGGATTATCTAGAACAAATGAATCAATAAAAGTGTATTGCAATGACACGGAATGATATGAAATGCTGAGACATTGAGACCTAGGAAGCAAAAACAACATGGGGCTACAAATTTTCAAAGTCATTCTACGCATTTATTATGAAGTTTAACACAACTCCATACATCTTAAGTTTTTGTAATTCACTTACAACACTCTACCTTTCCTTTAGTTAAGGACTTCCATCCTTTTCAAAACCTTTTCCAGGGTTGAAGAGTAGAAGTAGATGTTTACCATTTCTAAAGGAGTTAGTAACATTGAATTACGAATCAGGTCAATAATTCCAAGAGTTTAATGTTGTTCAAACTAACTAGATGCTGAAAGATGAAGGTCTGACGTAATCCAGTTCAGTTCTATGGAGGTACTGAGTGGTACTTCTCTTCATAGATGGACAAACAAAATCATCCTCAGACTAAACATCAGATTCAACTATTATGTCTGTTTCATATGGGTAGTCTAAAAGTATAAACATTAACCCTTCTTCAAGGACTATATGTCAAATTCCATATACAACCCAACTTCAATCTTACTGCAATCAATCATCTAACCATAAATATACAGAGCTTCCTCAGTACATTTAAAGTTGATAAGTGACGAATTAGTAACAAATCTGACAACAATAAACCTACAAAAGTAAATCAATAAACTCAAAAAATCATAAACAGAATACTGAAAAACTCGACCTCTAGTAGTAACTCAGAGTATGATTAACATCCCAGTCTACATCAGTCAGTCGATATAAACATCAAACATCGTATTACTGAACAGCGTTTCAAGTTGATAACAACTAGCAACACATTGAGATACAAAGAAAACAAGGTGAAAGATAAATAAACGGGTAAAATGTAATCCACAGTCCCTACAACTCTTAAGAGAATACAAGAGGGATTGAAGCATATCACGAAATGAGATATGACGATTAGGATAAAGATAATGAGTAGATGCTTCTACATCATTGAGATCAACTTTCATCCATATTGCCCAGTCTCCAATCACTGACTTCGGCTGTCAAGCGCATCCCGGCAGAGTTTACATTTCCCTACATGGTTCAGACCGAAAGTCAACCAAAGCATACTTCAGCCAACATCCCGTACAGGGATAAAAGGTGAGTAGACAAGTATAATACGTCCTACCCTGCTGAATTGATGCAGGCTTATAAATTCATCAACCGACTTTCCTTTCAGCTAAGACTATGTGTCTGACTTCTCCCTAACTAAAAAGGTGGTTCCACGATACATGACCAATGCTAAAAATGCAACTGCGATGAAGTAACTGGAAACTTACCATGCCCTCTATCAGTAATGGTCACCTTGCACATCAATATAGTAGGACAGAATAAACTGGAGTACATTGTACTGGGTCCTTGTTAGACAATTGGACGTCATACAGACGAGGTATAAAAGCAGACCAGTCCTCAAGCAACAATTTACATTTGGGTTATGGATACAAAAAGTGTCGAATGCTGCATAGGAGCGTACACATCTTCATTTACACATACTGATGTTAAGAAACCAAGACTGAGTCAAGAATTTAACAATTTTTGCTTAGTACTGCTCCTTTTTTCACTAGTGATGCAAATTTGTGAGCACCAACTTGATTATGCCAGTAAAACGTCCTGTGGAAAAAACTACTACATTAACCAACAACACGCTGAGTAGTTGGGTGAAAACACCTGAAGATTCTGTTGACTACCAAAGAACTGACTTGATGATGCACATGGTCTTTCATGGTCTGAAAACCCTTTGTGTAATGCTGACTGGGCTACTGTCTTCCTTTTTTTAGTAATTATCACCAGCTGCTTTATAAACACACAGTTTAAAGAAGGTGGATACAACTGCTTCTGAAAAATGTGTGCTAAAACATAAAATGATGCCTACATTTATTATTACTCTGAGACAGCCGTGGTTTGGCAGACCTGTATTGATCCTGGGTGATGATGGAGAATCTGGACCACGACAAGATTCAAACCAGAGACCTCTGAGTTTCTGGGTCGGTACTCTACCAATTGAACTACGACACTCAGCACCAGACCAGATATTAATTTCACTTCAATTATCAAGCGTATTGCTCTACTGTCATGTGATCTGCAACTGGGTCTCGTAGCTCAACTGGTAGAATACCGAGTAGGAAATCCGGAGGTTGTTGGTTCAGATCCTGTCGCGGCCTTAATTTTCATTTCACCTTCAACCATCACCCAGTATCTGCATTCATATTTAAGTGACATAAAACACCACACAGACAATATATGGAAAGCCTTACGGCATTAAAAGAGATAAAGTCATAGAAAGAATGAGGAAAAACACAACCATTTCTTAGATTATGACGCTAGTTTATGACTTAATTAGCTATTTCTGTTTTCAGCCATCTACATTACGTAACACTGCTTTGCGTTGATTATTTTTTCAATGAAATATTCTGAAACGAATGAATGATTATCAGTAACTTCCATCACGTTTACCAACTAGTGAGCATAATTGAGAGACTAACTCTAGGTATACGCAATGGTAAATTATTGTGAATTTTAATTTACTTCATTAGTTAAAACAATACATAACAAACAAACCTAGCATTTATTTCAACCACTTGATATCCAGCATGTTCAGCCAACAAATGAGCAAGAGTTGTCTTTCCCAAACCTGGAGGTCCAGAAATCAACACTAATCTATATCGGGTAGACCATCACGAGGATTAATTTCACCAGCTACTGCTTCAAGATCATCCGGTCTGTACGTTACTGATCCTGGATTCATATGAGAGTTAGTCTTGGGTGCTGGTGTTCCGAATACATAATGATCCCATGCTTTCAACCATCTGAGGAGAGTTCGATTCGTAGTCTGAGAAGAACAATTTTATTGTTGAATCGTTACAATGAGTGATTAAAGTTTGCAAATATTAAATGCCCTAAGTAAAGACCATGAAACAGCTAGCTCCCCTATAATAAATACCCGATTCCAAATGAACTGCTGCATTTTTGTGCAGAACTTTACGCTAACCTATCGGTTTGTCAGTCTTTGACATGATACAGATGAAAACACTTGATTATAAGTAGAAATATTCATAGTAGCATATTTGTGTGTTTTTTGAAAACAGATAAATCCTGATGCAATCTGAGGTACACAGAGCTTTAGAAACTAGTACATTGTTGTCGCTATACGTCTCATCAACAAGTTATAAACTTCCTTAAAAAATACATCAAATAGAGACCCTGAATGATACAAACCGAAACAGATCAAAGTGATTTATAAGCACCCACTTTTAACCTTTTCAAAAATCTTTTGGTCAACCCGTGAAGAACTGAAAACGCTGAAATTCATCTAACAAACAAACCCACGTTTGTGCAATAGCCAGTAAGACACCTATTTTGTGGGGGTTGGTGGTACATGGCTGCTCACACGCGTGATCGCTGTACAAACACGCATTTCAGCTTTAGAAGAAGCGTCAGTTTACCACCGACGCTCACCAACGATAATTCATAGCTTTTGACATCCACTGACCCATTCTAACATCTTTCCGAAAGTCAATTATGGTCTTCAACACTGCTTTTATACAAATGACTGAAGATAGCACCGGGGTTCTTCCAGATGAGTGGTGACACTGTACTGTCTCGATGACTGTCTAGTCAGCTTTTCGCTGAAAGCGACCTTAATATCCTCAAAATTGTCCTGTTGCTGTAGTTTTTCCACCTTTAATTAGGCTCAGACATGCACATGCTCGAACCAACGCGTAATCGCTGTACAAACACGTACTTTAGCTTGCGAAGGAGGGTCAGTATACCACCGACACTCCACAAGGATAACTCAGAGAAATGTAGTCTGTGTGTTCACCGATGAATTGAGCTCAGTGGACACCATGTCAGACAATGTCTTTCCTTGTGTCTGAAATTCGTACTGATCAAAAGTGGGTGGTTGTCTGAGCGTACTTTAAGCAGGTGATCACCGTTATCTATTCGTTCGACTAAAATTTAGGAAGTACCAGCTAATTGCCTTTCTCCCTGACTTAGCATACCCACCCACCCGTGCGCTGAAGTTGTCCGCTTGACAACCACATATGAGCGTTTAACCTCCAGTAGGAATCTAGGAATTTTCCAGCAGAACTCATTGTTCCCTCCATGGGAACTGCAATTGTTGGTTGCACGAGCGCAGATCAAAGAGGCACAACGGCGAGTTCCACCAACCTTTTCATTCTCGACTCAGTCGAACACCATACAGTCCAGTGTCAGCTGGGATCCAGTCAAGCAGTCCACTTCCTGCTTCAATCCTTAATGTCATACCTACACCTGCAAGGCTACGAGAACTAATCATCGAATCTCGGAAAAAGGGTTTCGAAGAGCCACCACACTGACCAGGTGAGGTTAAGTGTGAATGACCACACATAGCTCCTGCATGTGTGTATCTCACAAATACATCACACGTGTGTTTTCCGAAATATGAGAGTTTTGGCTATGGATCGTCTTGGTTGATTTGACGGAGGATGAAAATATTGAGATCTTTGACACGCAGTCAGAATCGCGGTTTCGGAGGACCAGGGATGCTGTCCCGTGAACTTGAATCGTTACCTACAGCTAGAGAGTTAAAAGAAACCCAAGATGTTTGGTTTCAATAGATAATGCTGTTTTCCTATGTGATGCATCTAATAAACAGACTAAAATGGAATCACTATCTTTCACAGTGCCAAAGTTTTACTTCTGTATTAATGATAAGTTAATGTCCCGATGACAAATTATCGTAAATGAGATGAGTGAATCAAAAGTATTATGAATATCTGAAGTATATTAATCGATGAAATTTACCTCATCGGATATCAAGTTTAAATAAGAAGAAGGGGAGTATTTAGTAGTCCATAAATGCGAAAAATTTGACTTCTTGTGCCTCTCTTCGCTTTCTATACCGAGTATTTTTGACCTAGAATTTTTCTGCCGTTATTTGTACACTTCTTTAAAAAAATTTGAAAGCTTACAATTTTTTCGGCTTCACATATCAAATCAGATGACTCAAACATGTTAAAAGAGTTGTTCATTGCAACAGAGAAATTTTCGAGATCAGACTCTAGCAGTCTGAGATAAAATCTTTCACCATTATTATATGTCACCGAAACATAATCACCGTCAACTGGAATTCTTCTGAGTAAATAGGTGTTTGAAGATGAAAACGCATGTGTCTTCTGTGCATTATTCTCATATCTGTCGTTCTCATAATTGGTGTCAGTTGTTTTCAGTAGTTTCGGTGAATTACCTATAATATTATGCATATGGGAAATACTTACATTTCTCTACGTCAGGTGATAGTGTCCTTTTGTGGCTAGACATATGGGAGTTTTCATTTGCATCCAAATCAACAGTTAACGAATGAGTTTTTTCAACTTCCACCTCCTCATCGATCTCAAGCAGCCTCTCGAAGTCATCAAAATCACAATCAGACATAAGGAATATTTTAGCTATTGGAAATTTTAAAACAAGAAAATTATTTGTAAGCGGGTACTCGTGGTTGGAGTATAGTGATATTTGCATAATTATCGAAATCATATCAACCTAGAAGTAAACTAAATTATACTTGCGAATATGTTAGATGCGATTAATTGGCACACAGTTGAAAAAGGTTTAAGATGTAATAACAATTCGTGTTGATTCGAGTCAATCTTATAAATACTTTGAGTATGACATGTTTCCATAGGTTAGCGTAAAACGATGCTGCGGAAACTAGTCTGCACTGATACCTAGTTTAAGAACAAAGAGTGATTCTCATCACATATAAAGGGCATCGAGATAAACAACTACCTACAGGAAGGCTAGTGCACTGTGCGGCAGTCCAATAATTTCTAGTGACTAAGAGACATGGTTACTGAAGCAAGAAGACCAGGCTACAGGTTTTATTCATAAGTTTTTTCCAAGCACTAGTTATGTGTAATAAAAAACATATTGAGTTACTATGATACCATACGCATCATAAAAGGGAAGGTTAGTAGGTTGATGATGTGAAACGGTACTGGTTGCAGCAGACAAAACCACACAAAGTAAGCCATTGTCTAACCAGGCTTCCTATCCCAACCGGAGTAAAGCCATGTTGAAATAAGGCTAAGAATGTGCAGAACAAGGAATGGAACCAGTTCATGAAGTCTGAAACTACTTACTGACAACATATGGACACAAGTTTTTTGCACTGCGGAATACAAATTTATTGCTCCATGACTGGTCAGAGTTGATACTTCACCTTAAAGTGGAGACTACAATCGTTGAGCACATTAACCATTTCACACATTTCATAACTCACAGCAATCTTCAAAAGTTGGTTGAGAATTAAATCTCGGACTAAATACAGAAAGCTAGCTTTTCTTCAGTCAATTACAGCCACTTGTGATAATGCAATACCCCAATGTGTATTACTGGTAGTGTAGTGGTTGCTGCTGATAAGAATTCAAATACTATATATTGAGAGGTTGGAAGAAGTCATAGACAGTTACAAGCAATGGATAAATGTCCTGCCTAGAGAAGCACAAAAGACTCGGCCACATCAAGAAGAGGAGATAGAATAAGATGAACTTAAACATATTGCGCGAAATTGATATTTCAATGGAAGATTATAGTATCTTATTAGTGATGTACAAATTATAGTAGTGCATGGCTGTAATATACGTCAGTTAGCCTCTTTCAACTCCATTAAGAGTTAGAGAGCTAGTTTCTAGGCGATATTCATACAAAGGTTAGATTGTGGATAATTGGCAATTCCAAACTACTTGAGATACTCAGTGTTTTGTCAGAATTATCGGTCAAATGCACTCAAGAACTATTATTTCTAAGTAAAAGCGTCACTACTACCTTTTTAAGATGCCTCATCAGTAAGCTCAAATAACTTGTACATCACCTCATCCCGACCGATTGTTGCAACCTTAACGTGGTGATCGGATTTGCACATCACAACGATGCAACAACCTAAGCTGGTGGAACACTTGTTCCCGTGAGGTCCTACCACACCGAAAATGTCAGTGGGATGATACAAAGAAAAAAAGGTCGTTAAGATACAATACGTTACGATATGACCAGGGTCTGGAGGAAAAGTCTTGCGGCTAGTTGGACGGGAGTGTGACAGCAGTAAGGACTTTCCAGTGGATGACCAGACTGATGCTGCCTTCCCTACGAAAAGGGTTGGCAGAAATGGTCGACGATAATAACAGCACGCTCCGTTCTAACATGTAGATGTCTGGTGTCAGCGGTGTGGGTTTGTAGTAGGACATACAACAAACTTCGGAAACGGCCGTATGTAACTATTCTCAATCAGATATCTTTCACACTTTGATCAACTGACAGGTAAGCTGACGAGAAGCTTATGTAATGACTGTGAGCAATGATATGGAAGTTTGAAAAGGTAGCAGTCATAAATAACAGTAGAAATGTATTAGTTGGTGAAGTTATAGTGGAGAAGGATGGGTCTGCGATTCATTTGCAGGTCAGAAGAGTAAAATAATGGGCGGAACTCTTCGAGGGACAGTTCAGCTAGTTTCCAGCTATTGTTTCAATGCTCAGTATCCACTCAAATCCTGAATCGAACACATAAATAGGATCTCCAATTCTTGCGAAATTTGAGAAGACTGCAGGTGACCTGAAATAAGGAAGGGCATATGGGCTAGTACCGGAGGTATTTAATGACATTCGTCGAGGGTTACTGGCCAGGTCAACTGAAATGTTAACTGGTGCACAGTAATCAGCTACGCTTCCGTTCGACCGGTTTTGATCCCTGAAAATTTTGATTTTCAACAAAAGCGAGAAAGTGTCATGCGCTAAGTACAGGCGAATCAATCCGATGAAAATAATTTCCAAGACACTAGGTTCTCTAACTAATAGACTTCTAAGTGGAGCTAAGGAAGGGAATAGCCGAGAAATCCAGGCAGCTTATGAAATGGCAGGATGTCTCACGATTTCTAACGACTGCAGGAGAGAGATGGGGCCGGATATTCTTTTTCTTTGCCGTTATCATGACACTATCCAATTAGTAGATTATGAACTTGTTCATCGCAGGCATAATCTCCCAGAAAACCACTTTAAAATGTAAAGTCACCTAGATTTCTACATACAAAATTTACGTAACTTATGTGTCGAGAGGCATATTCCTATTTGCGGAAGCTTGAGTTTACCCAGCCAGCATCTGTTTCGGGCGCACGTTGTAAATTCTGGGCAGAAACCCGAAAATCTTACTTCGGATGCAGATGAGGAGAATTACTATATCCCCCGGAATTTCTAAACGTTTTCCCGAAACTGTCAAAAGTTCCAAAGTGCGCCAAATTGTATGCAGTGCGTCGGAAGTTCACGAAGTGTAGACAGTGCACCGTAAATCCTGAAACAACTTATATCCACAGTCCTAAGAAGCCATATTTGGTAATATTATCATATATATCACTCACGTTTTATTACTGCTTGTGTTTGTGTATTACAAAACGAAATGCAAACGGCCAACGGTAATGATTGAAACATTTTGGCGACACACGAAATTTAGTAAGTGCACCTGAAGTTGCTATGGGCTAAAACCTGAAAGTTCCAGAGTGCACCCGAAGTAAATCCTGACTGGGTAAGTAATAATCTAGCAACGAAGTCCAACCTTAATTAGTATATTTGACTGGAAGTAGAGATACCAACAAGTAAAGTTTGACGAACGTCATAAGTAAATATACGTTCGCGTAAGCAGTTGCTACTATATTGCAAAACCCATCTTCCAATATCCAACGTGAATTGTTCGAGCGTATGAACTTAATAGTTTTTTACCTCACGCGTCCAGTTCTTGAGGCTTTGTTCTTGTTGTTCGGTTTGATCCTGCACGTGGCACAAATTCGTCACAAAATTAAACGAATATAGGATTATCAAAAGAGTTACATCAAGAAAATTCGACCATTTGAACCATTTGAAAAGCAATCTCAAAAATTACTGGGCTTGATAAGACGCGCCTCCCTACAACCTGAGGATACTTCGTATTGACCTACGAAAACCACAACTTAAAACAACTAAATGGTTCAAATGGTTGTTGACGTAATAGAAGGAGCTAACACTTAACTAGCTTCCGCGTCTACAATTCGTGGATAACCAGTCCTTGTGATTGTTAACCTGTATACAAGTAAAGTGGCGGTTAAAATATGAAATGTGAAACTAAAACTTCAACCTTCATTTTGTAGAACGACCGTTACTTCGATTCTACGTCTATCTTAATGGAGTACGTTCTGGGTTTGGAATGGTCAGAATTATCTTCCTGGTTCCGGAAAAACTGGGGGACAGAGATAATTGATAATTAATTAATCTGATCTGATCTGCAGGTGAAGGAAGGCTTCTTGAGTAGAGCGCATAAGCACCACAGGACTCAAGATATGAGTCTAGCCTTCTTTTTAAAAGCATTGGTGGACAGAGCCGTGACGACTGATGAACAATAGGGGTCCCACAGTTTGCAAATTCTAGCTGTAAACAAGTTAGCACGTATCTTTGTACGTGGTCACTCATGCTCTATTCTTGACGGTTGACCCCTCAGGTGGCGTTTCTGGTTAAAGCTTAGAAGGGATCTGTTGAGATGAAGGGGATTATGGGCGATGTGGTACATCATGGTCATGTTCCCTCTGATCCCCCGGTAGTGTACCGGATGCAGCTTGAGAGCCAGTGAGCGATATGGGTAGGGTTCGTACCGTAACTCAATTACTTTCTTTGTAGCTCTTCTCTGTACCCGTTCCAGAATGGTTACGTCCTTTTTAAAGTATGACTGCATCTCAAGTGAAGTTTTTTCGAGATGGGAGTGAATATACAGGGCATGTACCGTGGTAAAAAGAGAAGGATTTAGACTTCTCAAAGTTCGCGAAAGAAACCCCAAGACCTCATAGTCCCTCATCTGCAAGGCAACAGTGGACTGAAGCTCTTGGTGTGAAGCTTAATGTAACTCCCAGATCTTGTTCCGTGGTGGAGCGACAGATACTTATGTCCCCCAGAGAGTAAGAACTGGGACTGCTTTTATGCTTGTCAACCATTATTGCCCTACACTTCTTCCAGCCGAGGGGAAGCAGGTTTTCTGTGGTCCAATTTAGGATTCTCGCAAGGTCTTCCTGGAGGACTGAAATATGTGTTGGCAAGTGTATTTCCCCCCAAATCTTCAGACAACCCGTATATAATGGTGAACGAGAACTGAGGGACCCTGGTAGGTCACTGATAAAGGCAAGAAACAGTGGTGGGCCCGGAATCGGACCTTGAGGCATACCTCTCAGCACAAGAAACAAATAGGATAGACATGAGGGAACTCTGAGTGCAACCTGGTGTAAAGATAATCTCCAGGCCAGATTAGCAATTTTCCGTGTACACCCATGAGCCGACGTTTTTCCACAGGATGTCATTATGATTTACCCTGTAAAAGGGCCTGGAAAAGTCGGGTAAACCAATGTGAACGGTCTTTTTCCGCTCAACACAGAGAGTTCAGGTATTTCGAGTTATCAACAAGTTGGCGTTCCACGACCTTCTAAACCAAAAGACATGTTGACAGCCGTTTAAGATTGAATTCCCAAGTAAGTGATCACGAAACGAGCCATTTACCACTCTCCCCACGACCTTGGCATCTGAAAAGATCGGTGGGATCGGTCCGTAGTTAGAGACAAGTAGTTTGTTTCTGTGTTAAGGCGACAGCCACCTCTTTCCAATCAGAGGGTAGCCTGACTTCCAGAAAGAAGCAACTGAAGAGCCCTGCCAGTGGGAAACCTAGAACTTCAGCGCACGTTCTGAGTGCTTTTAGGTGAGTCCCATCAATCCCCGGAAACTTATTCAGGTCCATATGCCTTAACGTTTCCATGATCATAGAAGGTTCAAACTGCGCATGGCCACTCTGTAATACGTGTCTCTAACAGATGCGTGGTTGTCCCTCCCAACCGACAGAAGTTATTCCGGAATTAATCGGCTGGTAAGTTTGCTGCCTTGAGGTTAGTGTGGAGACTCTCTAATCCACTGGGGTCCTGTATACCATGTAGACTGTTACTCTTCTCTTTCATAAATTATGCTTGAGTCTTCCCATAAATCATTGGTACAACTTAGATTCCCCAATGCAGGTGATTATATTTAAACCTCTGCCTTACAAATGACTCCATTTCTTATGGCTCCTCACCTACTTTTACGCATGCAACAACCACATAACCCCCTTATGTCTTTTCTTTGCTCATCGAATGAAGATACAATTTGAGCTTCATTCAGTGGAAGCTTGTTTTAGGGTGTCTGTGCGCGGGCCTTTTACATACTTCCGGGCATTTTATATTTGCATATCTATAGTGAATCCAACTAACACTGAGTGCCAGTGTATAAAAGCGCTACACAGCCCTAGCACTGCAGTCTGAATCATAACATGGGACGACGTATAAAATTATTATGATCACTGCGTTCCGCGAAAAGTCCTACCGATAACGCTCTCTTACTTGGGTTCTCCGGCCTTTTTTGCTGTCCCCTGCCATCCTTTTTCTTTCCCTCTACAGATACTGCTCTGAAATCAGGCACAGTGGGGAATTTCACGCGCCAAGCTGACAAGTGACTCTTCTTGGCTTTCACTGATATTTGACTATTACCCCCGAAGGACAACTCAATGAGTTTCTACTTGCCATGAAGTTTCGCGAATTACTGCCGTGGTATAGATATATATATATATATATCCTGTCGTTTCGAGCATGTAATGCGCGGTTGATCAGGTATAAGCCTTGGTGTTGGTAAATTATATGAGCGTTATCATCTCTTTCTGTATTCAGTGTGGATGATTTTCGTAATCTTACCCATCACTTCTCTTATATTCCTTCCTTTTGGGTGACCTAAATGAAATCAGTCCTCCTAAAAGACTGAGATGCACAGAAGCTTTGAATACCCATCATCCTTTTGGACTTCGCGCTTTAGTTCTAATTATGAAAGTCTTCCGATTATTTCCAAACAGTGAGGCTCAACCAACCAGCGTTATCGAACTGGAATAAATACATAGTCCAAACTGTGAACCGGCATGTACTTGTACCTGCAAAAATAAGATTATACTCGGTGAAAAAAGCGTAAAATTGTATGAGCGAACTGTCTGAAAATTCGCATAAGTGGTACTGTGGCCAGGATGGCATGTAATGAACGCTGGTCACAGTTAGTGGAGGATACAAAGCTTCGAGAGGTTGACGCCCTGAAATCGTGTTTCACCGATCTCACTGCCGGTTCCGTATCACAGAAGCTTTGTGCGTGGCATGCACTGCGTCCCAGATGCACCACTGAACAGTTCTATGGGTCAAGCGTAAGCCCGTTGATCTTGGTCTCATCCGAAGCTACGCTGACACTTACAGCGAGCAGGATGTGTTCCGGGGTAGCTGGATTCTCTTTGTATCCCTAAGTGGTCGGCAAACGGAAGGATTCTAAACAAAACTTGAGGAGACAAGCCTTTGGTGTGTAGGATAGGAAGAGACCCTGTTTTTGGAACCTGTGAATATTCCACGAGAAGCCATGTGCATTTAGGGCCTGAGAAACCTGGTCTAAGCAAGGTGATCCTTTATCGCCAGAAAAACCAACAATCCATGCTTTATAAGCTGTTGATAGGGTAATCGGATTACACGAAGGTGAATTGATTTTTGTTATTTTGGTGCGATCACACAGAAGTAATTTTAGCCAGCTTGGCGGAGGGCTACTAATACCTAATGAGTTTAGCTCTTCGAACGGTATATTATGCGAAACCATGTCAAATGTCTTCGTTGTATTGAAGTATAGTACAAGGACTATTTTTCATGCCTCACGAAATTGGTAATGAGACTGAAGAGGTGGAAATGACGCGTAATGCATGATGTGTTCTTCATAAAGCCATGCTGAGACTTTGTTATAAAATCTTCTGCAAGTAGGTATTTGGACATACTGTCTTTTACAACTTTTTCCACAATTCACGATTGGACTGGGGTTATACTGATGGGTCTGTATTTGCCAACACTAGCCTTGTCCCCAAATTTGTAGTGTGGAATCACGTAGCTAGTTTTCCATTTAGTCGGATACTTGGACAACTCAAGCAGAATCGAGGGAATGTATTGTCCGCTATTCCTTAGGGCTACTGAATCAAGGCCGTCCATTCCCACTCCTTCCGTAGGTCCTAGGTTTTTGATGGCTTCATCTATATTTTTGCAAGTAAAGACCACAGCCGCAAAATGGCTGTCGGAGAGTGCCATGCTACTGATGGAAGTACGCGCCTCACAGCTGAAATTCTCAAACTGGTCACTAAGTAGTTAACAAATCATGACTGGGTTGCTGTAGACCACCTCATTATGAAGCAAGTATTGCATACCTCCTGTCGTTTGAAGGCGTTTCTTTACAGGTGATGTTAGACTATATACCTTGGAGCTAGTTCTAAAGGCTTTCAACCCATCATTTCAGGCTTTTTGTGCAAGTAAGCTTTTGACTGATTCCAAGGTATCATGGGTCGCATGCGGCGAGGAGAAATCCCCAGTGGAGTGATGCAGATTCGACGA